TCCCTCAATCACCTACTATAGGCGGTCTTATGATAAATTCCTTAATCTTAACCCTGTCCCTAAGCTAAACTCTAAAGCTAGCCGGGACTCCAACTTCCCCGGAAAACCACCGGTATTAGGAGAGATTTTTGGCCCCATGTCCTTGAGTGGGGTCACATAATATATCCCTGTCGAGGTCTTTACCTAATTTTGCTTAATGCTTCTATGTGTGCCGTGAGGTAAAACGTGCGTCGGAAGGCTGAAAACAGTCAACAGATACTCCATATAGAAGCGGGAGCATCAAAGGTGGCTTACTATCACATGAAAAAATGTTGAGGCCCGGAGGTAGTATAACGCTATTCACACCTAACATCGTTAAATAAGACTACAACCACACTAAGACCAGGGGAGTTGCGGTCTGCGTTTAAAGTTTACACCACGCTGGTATGCATTGTTTGTCTTCGATTTTCTATGGTTGTGGCGGAGTGTGAACATAAACGGCATTTTGTGTTAAGGAAACCAAAGATGTCCAGAGTCAACGCGTGCAAACAACAGAGGAGAATGTGGATGAACACTATTTTCTGTGGTGTTGTAAGACTGTTGTCTTGTCTTGTTGAATTCCTTAACATCCCCCAGGTATGTTGTATGTCAAACACTGTCACCTATTGTACCGCAGTGAGATATGAAGCAAAGAAGCATGTTGCACATGCTCTATTGTTTCCTTGCAAACGAAACAAGTGGGACACGTGGATTAACTAGGATGCAGCAAGAGAATAGCAAACGGAAACGTACTTCAAACTCAAAATGCATGCTGGAGTGACGCGCAGGCGAAGATGAATCAGTGGTGACGCCCAGGGAAGTGCGGGAGTCCCCAGTGGCTGAACCACGATTACAGCAAAGCATTTCCAGGAACGTCACCGAGCCCAGTATTCCAACATACTTCAGAGCAATGGAGCGACTGAGAAGCTGCTTGCGTAGAAGCAACAGAAAGTCGTCCTGCAGGTAGCGTTCAGCGGAGCTGCTACAAATGGGAAGAGGTGAGCCGCTGATGAAGATTAAGCAGGGACTTGCCTGAACACGACGAATACTAACATGGCATAAATTCTGCGAATATCCTTCGGTGGGGGCAAAAGGTTGGTAAAGACGTCGGAGGAGGAGGAAGCAACAGCAGGCGTTGGAGATAGTCCGTCAGAAAGGTGCTCCACCAAACTGAAAAGATGATCTGTAAGTGGGGCCATCCTCGCGGGGTTCTGGGTGGAGAGACTGATGAGTAAATTAAGAGCAAAGATCTCTGTCCGGACTCCTTTTGTTCTGAAGCCAAATGACGCAACGCGACAACTCATCGCACTTTTGCAGAGCTGGCTAACCAGTTCACGTAACTGTTCGGCATTGGTCTGCGGTGAACCAAATATGGCGGAACAGAAACGACCTAAGAACTTGATAGCCGGCTTGGAGTGACAGAACGCGGCAAGGATGCAATCGATGAAGCGTAAAAGGGAGGGGAAGACAACACTGTTGGTAAGGACGGCTTCATACTTCGAGAGAAGGTCGGTTGTAACACGGGTGATGTCCTGACTACTCATAAGTATGCCAACAAATTTAATTAACGAGGAGACTTCCTTGCGTTTGGAAGAAGGAAATTCCGCGACAGATGTAGGCTCTTGGAACCGTTTCTTTCCTCCATTTGCCGAGGAAAAGGCCGTAAAGAGAACGGCTAGGATAATAAGGTCTTCAATTAAACGCTTTGCGGAAGTCTCCAAGACTTCAGACGGTTGGTCACTTGAAAAACTCTCTTGTATCTGCATAAGCCAACTAAACATTTCGTATTAGATTCAAAACATAAGTCAGAAACTTGCAGTGTAGCAAAGCGTTTGTTTGCCCGAAAGACCTGTATCAGAGTTTCGATCATTAACTAGGGGGAGAATAATGGGTAAATAATCCACCAAAAACTTACGCCAGCGTCCTTGTCCAGAAAATTAAAACGGCTTCGAAGGAGGGTGATGAACGATTTAAGGATTTCTTCCTTATACTTTTCCGTTAGGCTACACATGAATACAGACTTTAGCAGAATACTCAGGTAGGTGCATTGAGATGGCAGCCCAATGCAACGAGTGAGTACGGACTGACAAACACCCAAATATCGTGAGACTGCGGCATCTTCAAGCGGTAATTTGCCGATACAGCTTAGCAGGCTGTGTAAGTTCTTTTGACCAGACATATCTCCAGCTGATTCAGTTTGAAATGACAGAGAATCAAGGGCATCCAGGAGAAAATACTCCGTGGTGGATAGGATCGTCGAAGCACATTCACTATCGACCTGATTTCTGGATGCATAAAGGATGTGAGGAATGATACTAAGAATATGTGCCTTTAACTCGCTGCTGTGTGGTAGTTTGTAGAGCTCAACCAGACGGTCAAGGATGGACTGAATGTCACCTATAGCTGAGTAGAACGAGGAAACTCCAACTGGTTGTAGAAATTGAAGAAGTATTTGCTCTGAATATACCGAACCCATCGCCACACATTCGAGTAACGTATCCAATAGTAAAGAACGAAGACTGGTAACTGAAATAAATAGTTGACAAGCAGACGGGGGCGATCCGAATAGTGAGAGCACATCATGGACCTTTTCACTTTCAACAAACAAGTCCGAATCGGAAATGAGAATGGGAGATGTCAAAAGGTTGCAACTGTCATTCTCCGAAACTACGGTGGCATCTAGCAACAGACATCTAAGTTCCTCCAAGAGAGAAGTCTTGAAGCTTTCGTCACCTGTTAGTTTTGATTCTAGTGCTTTAACCCGCGTTTTTGCGGAGTTCACAACCGCCCATGAATTCTTTTCGGAACCAGTAGATAGGAAAAGTAAACGGTTGGAGTGTTTGAGAAATGAGATGTTCATCAACTTTAATGCAGCGTTCACGGCTTCAAAGTTCTGTGGCAGACCAGGCGTCCGATGGGCAGTCGCGCCACCAAGCCCTGATAGTATGGGTGCTTCATGCGTAAGACCATATGTAGATGACATCAAGTAAACGATCAGCAAATTTGATCTAGAAAAAAAAATGAAAATGAAATACGGCACGCCTTCACCTAATATTATAGGATATGGCAACAGAATACTAGTAACTGAAACTTAGGACTCAGGGTCCACGTTAGTTTTGATGCATTTTCTTTTCTATGTTCCAAAAGCACAGGAGTATTTTGGACGGTTCTACTCTCAGTCAACACCTACACGCAAAACAAGCACACATACATAAATACTGAGCATATGACCATACTTTGGATCGATTAGCAAGAGCATCAAGCTGAGTTTGCATCACCGACCCCTCAGCAGCCGGCCCGTTTCGGGATAAATCAGACTGTAATGCGCTTAAAAACGCACACGGATTGAGCGACTCTATCGGTCTCCAATAAAGTCACTGAGTCTGATCAAAGCCTACTACCGCACAAAACCAGCTCGAGTAAGAGCCCCTGGTGAAGCGTCAGATTATTTGCCATTGACTTGTGGAGTTCGACAAGGATGCCCTCTTTTCCAGTTCATTTTAGCTTTTACGTTGGATGAACGCTCCCCTCCTTTTAACCTGTGTTTTTGATGACGAAGGAGCCACCCTCAGCCTAACATTCTTGTGCAAGAGACTTCTGATGGTGCATGGGAGTGCCTTACGCGCACGTTACTATACAGTCACCCGACCCGCCCCCACCTTCAAGAGCAGTTCCGCGGTCGGGATAAGAAAGGGGCGAGAGGATATTAACACGTCAAGAAGAGCTTATCATATGGACGCGCACGTTCGGTGTGTATGTTAACCGCGCAATACAGGCCCGAGAAGAGGGCCTTTCTGCACTAGAATGAGCAAGAAGATTTGTTCAAGGACATTCTAGAATATTGCTATCGGGGTAGATCACATCCCCAGGCATTTCCCTGCATAAAGTCGAACCCCAGGGGTAAGTATATTAACTTAACTTACATCTATAACTATTCTTAACTTATTATAATAAGTTGATGATTATTAAATAACCTAAATATGCATATTAGAACATCTAACATGAAACATCTCCGCTTAAATAGTAGAGTTAAATTCGAAGATATGACTATAGTGCTCGAAAGGATTGTCTATATGTAATATGACGTAAAAAAATCAGAGCGAACTACATTAGTGAACAAAAACGCACAAGATATGCAACCTCAAAAACGAAAAGGCACAGTACAAACGCACGTAAATCGCGCAATGAGATAAATTTATACTACTCGATATGTATAAACAACAGTCGTGTGTGATCTCACACGTAGGGACCTAAGCACTGAGTGTCTTCAGAGCACTACAATTATAACACCCCGTTCCGTAAAAAAGGAAGTTCGAAAGGCCAGTAGGAATTTTGTATTCTGTGCAAAAGCTCCGTGGTGGACTGAAGCCCGACGCCTGGCAAACCCGGGGCGCCTGTTCGCTAGCGCGCAGTGGGCGAGAATGCCTAAGCGTATAAAAGACCATGAGGGTGTCGCACGGCCTTTTAAACTGCCCCGGTGATCCACTGCGGTTTTTCAAGAGGGGTACGTTCCGTCGTACATAGGCCGTGCATCCTGATATTTGTGACGGCGACGGACATAAAATTTGGCCTTCTAGTGGCTGTGAAAGTTTTACACCCACTCACCTTCAGTCTTCCGCTCTGTACCTTATTAAAGCTTCCGTTTTATCAGCCATGCCCTTAGCTATTACACTGGTTGACTTCATTTTTGAGTACGTCGTCTTTAACATTGACGGCCAATTTGCTCTTATTCCTCTACAACACACTGCCAATCCATAGTGATCCCTTTTTCGCAATGTCTATTTCGACAAAAACTTACTCGTGGAATGTACGACTTATGTGGCCCACTTCCGAACGCAGGTACTCCCTTGTGGAATTTCCTCACAAAAAAATTGGCTGCGGCCTGGTTATACGACGCTGGCAGAATACTGTGGCCCAAAAAAAACAAGACAACGGACTAGATTGTTGACAAACAACCAGCGACCACCAGATGGTACGAAGATATAAGCTCTTAAAGTGTGAACAGCAGACTTACACTGCAGCAGGTCCAAGACGGTGTGCGAAAGGCGGAAACACATGAGAAAAAATCTAGTTCCGAGCCGCATGAATTTGGTAGGGGCAGGAGAACTAGGTATGCATCCCATGTGCTTTATACCGTTAATTTTCTTTTGCAGATGTAAACGAAGACTTACTTCTATCTCAGAAGATAATGACTGTTCGCAGCATAGACCGATATGGCCGCCCGATTCGCCAACGCCACTCGAAGTACTACAGTAAGCCTAATTGTCACCTATGTGTTGTAGGCCTGGTACAGGGGCCAATGTCCCACATCTTTTTAAGTCCACCTAGATAAGACCAAAGCAACCTGCACCGCCAGCCTCGATTCAGTAGCCAGCATTTATTATTTATTACTTAAGGCTGTCTATGCAGATGCCAGTGCCCGCTTACTTGTCATCTGTGGAAACAGTGTGTTGCCAGTAGATGTCAAAAGACATAGGCGAAATGAACGATGCACTGGTGGCGACGACCGTTCAGCTATCAAACGTGAAGGGACGGTTAGCGTTGCTCGAGTAAATTCATTCGTGACCATCCAAACAACCATATAGAAAGAGAGTACACTACCTTTCCAAGCAATTGGTTGCTTTTAATAACAATATTCAACAAGTGCAGGCAGCACTGGCAAATGTCGCTAGCACATTGGAGAGGAATAAAGCCGTTGCCAATGTCAGGTCTTCACCCCTGAACTTCCCATTGTGCACGGTGGACGCCTATGAGGAGTTCGTTCGTCGAATAAATACAGGGGAAGTGTTACCAGACGAGGCGGTATGTGCATATTTATTTCACTATTCCCAGATCAAGCATCTGGCCTTGGCTGGCGGTCGATCTGTGGCAGAATTTATACGAAATCTGCTGAACGTTCTACTAGGCCAGCCGTTTTACCATACCTTCTGCTGGGGGACCAAAAGAAAAGAACTCATTCATTGTTTTCCTTTGTTTCCCATCCTCAAGGGTAGGTCTCATTGCTAAGCATTTATAGGTGTTAAGGCTATGACTGTTTAACCCTAACACCTACAGTCTTCCAGGCCCATGATTCCTTTAGGTGAGGAGAGAGAAGACAGTGAGAAGCCAGATTGTTAGGAATAAATTATTCTGCCGAAGGATAGAAGAATAGCTGGAAACAGAGTTGACTCGCGGACTAGTGCGTCCGTTCCCTATTCGGGTCGGTTCCGGAGAGAGGCTTGAAGGCAGACACCGCATTGTTGTCTTTGTCCCAGGGATTTAGGCCAACCTACTAAATGAGGTCAGTCTATCGCAGGGGGTTAAGTAAGTCTAACCGTGCAACTGCGATCTTCAGGCCATGGCTACTTAGTAGAGGAGAAGTCGTTAAAGGCCGAGTAGAGGGAAGAATGTATTGTGTACACAATGAAGAGGAGAATAGATGAGAGTAGGTTGACTTGAGAGAGATACGTCCGATCA